AAGCAGAGCTTCTCATTGATTTAGAGCTTGCACTAGCACCAAACCAGACATACTTTGGACATTTCTAATACTTGGAGTTATTACTCTTTAAAACAATCAACTATTCAACCAGTAGAGTATGTTTAAATGTTTAATTTTTTAATAATATTTTAAAAATCTTTTCCTTTACTGTGTATTTCAATGAAAGAAGCGGCTATAAAAATAATTATTTGCTTTTCAATTCAATATCAAAATGGTCACTGAGATGGGAAACCACTGTAACCACCACCAATTTCCTGCTCTTTGTCATGAGTTAGAATTTCCATATTCAGAAACAAGATTCCTTGTAGTTAAAGTTGGTATTTATAGCACAATATGTAAATTATATTGGTGGAATTAAAGCGCTTAGTTTTATCAAAGCTACCTAATTCAAACATCATATGTCACATAATAAATAGCACTCTGAATGTTAACGTTTTGAAGTGATTGGAAAGGAAAAATAACTCCTTTATTCTAATTGACTTCAATATCAGTTTTGTTCTTTATTCATTAAAATACTTTTTCGTGTACCTATATATACGCTCTACTGATGATGAACCTATTAAGTGCCTGTTTTTATTCTCTTGTACATCTTTCTAATAATGTTAATTTTTCTAAGAGTTCTTTTTGTCTCCTGGCTTTGAATATATTCGTAAATAAATTAATAAGTGCGATAAAATAAATTACAAATATTTTTTCTTAGTTGAGATCCTATTGTATTTTGAACACAATTTCTTACTGCATGTCACTACAAATAATGATATACGAAGGCTCAGAGAATGATATGCCTTTTACTGTCCCCAAAACTCTGATATTTTGTTTGCCTTTATTTCCTAAAAGTGAAGAGAAAGCAGTCTGTATAATTAAAGGGTTTAGACATTAGATTTTCAGTTTTTCAAAAATAATGAGAGAAGATAAAAGGAGAATGCATGTCTCCCTCTCTCCCCTTCCGCTCCCCCCCCCACACTCACATACACACACACGTGCACGCACCATGACAGATGACCTTCTTTCAACTTGTTTTATGGCAAATCTGTTTTCAAAAGTGCTTTTATAAACAGCAGTGCATTTTGGGAAAGTTAATGTTGCATTTATGGAGTTCACATTCCTTTAAAAAATATTCGAATCACAAATATTTAATTTTTATTTACCTTTTCGGGGTCAGGCTATTATGTAAAACGAGGCACATCTGTGTTTTTACTAGTCATCGTCCTATGTTACCTTTTATTTTTTATATTTTAAAAATTTGTCATCTCATGTTTTTATTTTATATATACAACTTCAATGGGCTTCATTCCACTTTTAAGCTCATTTTTTTCTGATCTAAAAAAATTCAGCCAAATAGTTGTGACAGAGTACAAGACAACTACTGTCCAGAAACTAAATGTTCAAATTATACTGTCTCTCCGATGAAGTGATAAATGAGGATTGAGTCAGAGATATCACACTAACAATTTTCCAAACAATCTATCCAGACAGACACAGCTTAGACAGAGTCAAATCTAAGACCAGCGTTCTAATTTCAACTACATGTTTACAAACACTGGAAATGTTGGTCCTTCTTTTTGAGTCATTAAGCATGAAAGAATATATTTTGACAAATAGAATTCTACTCTGGAGAAAAAACAACAAATCTGGGTTCCTCAGAATCAAGTGATTTAGTGTGTGGATTATGCAGGTTGCTGAGCTTTAAAGCATAGCTGAAGACCTGGGATTCTCATGCAGTTACAAGTTTAAAGTGAGATGAATTGGCACTCACAGTTGTGGCAGGTGGCCCCACTGTATCCCGTCTCATCACAAGTGCATTTGAAGCTGTCCCACGTTTGCGAGCACTTCCCACCATGCTCACAGTGATTGGGCACACATCTGTCAGAGAAAGAGACAAAGAGAAATAAACCAACAAACAAATGAGATTTATGGGTGGCCAAATTCCAAGCTGTCTGGGCAATATATCATTTCAATGCCAGGTTGCCTTACCAAGGCAATTAATCCTTGTTAGTTTGAGCAGATTAATATGATTCATAATGGAAGGTGCCAAGCGCACAAAAGATGATGTATCACAGGCCTGTAGTTTCTCATTTTTGAGTAAACAGTAGAAATTAACAAACGGTTGAGAGATTTGCATATCACAGATTCATTTTGTTTTTCTTTTGCACAAAAACAAAGACACTAGCTAAATTTCCTCCTGGTGAGAGATGGAAGAGTAGCCATCTTGTTTCCTGTTCTACTCTTTATCAAGACCAAAACCAAGTCAGAAAGGGGTAACAGTGAGTTTCTCACAGCAATTTGAGTTTTTGAAATAGTGTCATGGCAACAGCAATGAGAATATACTAGTCTTATAAGAAAGGATTTCTAAGTCTTCCTTACTATTTCCCCTATGCAAAGCTGGCTAATAAAAGCCGCCTACTTAAAAAGGCAGCAAGCATAACATAGAGAGAAAAATACAGGTTTTGTGTTCAAATCTTTCTCTATTTACAAGATGGCCAATTATGACTATGCAATTTAACTTTTCTGAATCACAATTTCTCATTTGAAAAATGGAGTCAATACCTAACTTATAAGCAGTTCTAAGGTTCAGAGATAATGTTCATAAACTAGATAATTACTAGTCAAGAAATACAGGACCTATAAATGGGAGCTATGAATATCTGGACTATAGCTTCTGGGGCACAATCTTATAGCTTGCCTGTACCCCAGCAACAGTGAAGTTGAAATCTTTTTAGGAACACTCCTGTTTCAACAGCACAAAGTCCTTCCTTTCTCCTGGTCCTACTTCCTTAGCCCTCCCAACAATTCCTCTCTCCGACTTCCCCACAGACTGGTTCTTTATAACCCTGGTTAAGATGCTCATGGATAACAAAGGTATTCATTGTTCTATATCAGCACTCACAGAGAGTTCTGGATTTTAATAGAAAACTCTGTCAAATAGAAAAGTCCACTCAGAATAAAGAAAGAGAATCAATAATAGTGAGTCATGGGTAATGAACTGATGGAGAGCCACCCTGCATGGAACTCCTAATCATAATGCCCTGGTAGCTTCCTGCTGTAAAAATGATGACACTGGGCTCAGAGATGGCATTCTCCAGCCCCTGTTCTAACTGACCGCCAGCCACGCCTAAAACTACAGTAGCAGGGCACAGGCCAGTTAGGCACGGAATCTCTGAGTCTTACATCGAAATGTTCTTCCTCTCCAAGTCTTTGCGAACCTTTAGTCGTGTAACAAACATGTATTGAGCACTGGCTGTATGTAGCACTGTGAGAAATAGAAGAAGAATAAAATTCTATTCACTGCCTTTCAAGAGCTTATGGTCTAGGAAAGTAAATACACTGTGTACACCAAAACTATACTGTAAGGTGGACATGAAAAGTGGCACCATGCCCAGACAAACACTGCACTATGGAGTTGCACTTAAGGGACTATATGTAGATTGGGGGCATAATAACATGCTTTTAGGTTGAGTCTCAATGAATGGGCAGAATTGTAAGAGAAGAAAATAAGAGAAAGAGCATTATTGGGGGAAAATACAACATATGCGAATGCGTGATATTGGATTATCATGAGAGGGGATTTAATTAATTAATTAATTTCAACTTAAAACTCTTCGATTTTTAAAATTTGTATTTGATAAATTTGATGTTACAATTTGTAAATTTGAGATGTATAGCATGTTGATACATTTATATACTGTAATATGACTGTCATTAAAGCAATTTTTATCACATTACATCATTATAGTACAGTATTATTGACTATGTTCATTATACTGTGCATTAGCTCTCTATGGCTTATTTACTATTCATTGCAAGTCTATATCTCTAAACACCATCAATCTTACCCCACATCTTCCATCCCCTGGTAAGCATTTCTCTCTTAAGATCTATTAGTTTTTGCTTAATACATTTTAGTGCTCAAATATTGAGAGCATATATATTTATGATTGTTATATATTTTTGATATATTGACCTATTTATCATTATATAATGACCTTCTTTGTCTCATATTACCATTTTTGGCTGGAAGTCTATTTTATCTGGTGTAAGTATCACTATACCCGCTTTCTTTCAGTTACCATTTGCTTGGAATATAATATTCTACCCCTTCACTTTGAGGTTATGTTTGTCTTTGGAGCTGACATGCATCTCCTGAAGGCAGCATATGGTCATGTCTTCTTTTTTAATCCACCTATCCACTTTGTGTCTTTTTGATTGGTGAGTTCAATCATTTACATTTACGGTGATTATTAATATAAGAGGACTAACTACTGCCCTTTTATCTTTTGTTTTCTATTTGTTTTTTATCTCCATTGTTTACTTTTTCCTGCATTTCTACCATTTTAAGTTGGTGGTTTCCTATCACGATTTTCTAGTTCCTCCCTTTTTATGTTTTGTCTTTGCTCTAGATTTTTGTTTGGTAGTTACCATGAGGTTTATATAAAATGTTTCATAAAATAGTCTTTTTTTCCTGCTGTTAGCAACTTATTTCCTTTGCCTATACAGGTTCCATCATTTTCCTAATCCTCTTTTATATTTTGTTGTAACAAATTATCCTTTTTTTATGCTGCAAGTTCATCACCAAATTGTAGTAGCTATAATTATTTTAATGCTTTTTTTTCTTTAATCTTTATGCTAGATTTAAGTGTTTTACACCTTATTCTAAAATAGTTATAATTTCCTGATTCTGTCTTTCACCTTACTCAAAGTTTTGCATACTTTCGTCTTTTTGTTCCAGATAGGAGAACTCTTTTTCAATATATACTGTAAGGCAGGTCTAGTGGTGTGAACTTTCTCAGCTTTTGTTTGTCTGGAAAAACCTTTACTTCTCCTTCATATATGAAGGATAATTTTGTTGGATAGAGTATTCATGGCTGGAAATTTCTGTCTTTCAATACTTTGAATACAATATTCCACTTTCTCTTGTCCTATAGAGTTTCTGAGAAATCTGCTGATTGCCTACTGAGACTTCCTTTGTAGGTTACTCCCCGCCTCCCCATCCCCCTTTGCCCCGGCTACCTTCAAGATTCTTTGATTGATTTTTTTATGGTTTCATTATAATGTGACTTAGAAAGGGTCTTTTTGCATTGAAATGGTAATAGCTTTGTGGTCCTGAATGTCTAGTTCTTCTTTCAGGTTTGAGAAGTTCTCAGGTATCATTTCCCTCAGTAACCCCGATACCCCTCTTCTCCTTCTCTTCTCATTTTGGTATACCCATTATTCATTCTTATGTTCGCTCTTCTAATGGAGTCTGATAGCTCTCCTAAGTTTTTTCACTCTCTAAAATTCTTAGTTCTCTCTTTTTCTTCCTGAATAGTTTCTAGATTCTTATCTTCCTGATCACTTATTCTAAAATTCTTAGTTCTCTCTTTTTCTTCCTATATAAGTGATCAGGAAGATAAGAATCTAGAAACTTTCTAGAATAGTTTCTAGATTCTTATCTTCCTGATCACTTATTTTCTCTTCCATCTGATCAGCACGCTTACCAATGTTTTCTAATGCATTCTTCATCTCATTTATTGAGTCTTCAGTTCCAGAATTTCTGTTAGGTTCTTGTTTTTGAATTTCAGTCTCTAGTAAAATAATCCTTCTGTTCATTAATTTTGAATTGCCTTTCCAAGTTTTCTTGTAGCTTGTTGAATTTTTTTCACCACAGCTATTTTGAATTCTTCATCAGATCCCAATCTTCTGTAACTCTGCGTTTGTTTGTTAGAGAAATGTTATTTTACTTTTGTGATACCATAGCACCATGATTTTTCACCGTTTGATGAGATGTGCTTCCGCCAGGGCATCTGAAGTAGCAGATGCTTTTCTTATTTCGGTGAAGCTTTGTTCACTTTGATTTTAACAGTTCGATAAGTTGGTAATTAGAGGTTTTTCTTTTATTTTCTAGCAGGTGGAGCTATATCACACATTTTTATTTCTCTTACATGAGCTCCCTCATGGCTGTGTTTGGAAGCACACACTTTCCACCCTCCACTCCCTCTGCCAGAGGGGTCTCCGGTGTTGACATCACTGCCAAGGTTGCCTGGGTTGCGGGCACCACTGCCAAGGAGGCCAGGGTTGTGGTGTCCATCACTGCTCCCCTAGTCCCACCACTTCCATAAGGTCCAATCTAACCACCTTCAGATATAAAGATGTATGGATTTCTTGGGCATCCCAGCATGCCATGCAGGGGATCCTTTGTTGGACTATGGATGTCCTACTGGCTGTAACATAAAGAGGAGAGACAAAGAGAACCGTCCACACCACCCTGATGCTGACATTGCTCCTCTAACACCACATTTAATAGGCACTTGGTGTTGGTGCCATCAAGACTACAAAGATAGTCCTTCTCCAAACACTTTATGACCTAGGTGGAGGTGGGGGCAAGATTCATGCAGAATACCACACCAAGCAGGATGCAATGACTCATTAAAGAGATACAAAATGCTGTAGAAATTTGGATACTGGAGTAGTTATGGATAAAATATAAATAAGGGATTAATAAAGTTTAGAGCATTTCATCCAGGCATTAAGAGAGGAGTGGCATTTTTAGAAAATGTTGAAGATTGTTCCCAGCAGGGTATGTGAGAAGCAATGACAAGGGGGTAGAACTGTGAGTAGTGGGTGGTCCTAGTTGTTCAGGTCCAGTGCCATAACCACTACCTGCTACAGGGGCATAGACATGGGCCACAGCACAAGGTATTTATATTCAGCAGCCTTGATTCTCCAGGTCATGGAAGGAAGTAATGAGACAGACACCCCAAAATTACTTGAAAGTAAAAAAAGAAATCCTTCATACTTCATTTTGGAATAGAGTACATATATGCCTTTGTGCGGTATAGTTACTTCCTAAATTGCTATGGGGTAATATTAGCTCAGGCTAATAGTGA